ACTCTTAACCACTGAGCCATCCTGCCAGAACCTACGCATCATTTTTTAAGGTATGAATGTGGAGATTTGTGTTTCCCTTGAACATTTTAAGGATACAGATGTAACTGCTTAGTTAGAAAAGGATTTTTTTCTGGAATGACCTGACTGGAACTCACTATTTAGCCAAAGCTTGCTTTAAACTCTTGCTTCTCCCACCTCAGGCTTCCCAGTGCTGGAAATGCACATACGTTGATACAACCGGCTTGCCTATTTAACTTCCATATGCTAATAGTTATACTGCACTCACCATTAAACCCGCTATAACTATGTAAACCTAGGAAGAACAGTTTAGAGACAGCTTAGAGTGAGGTGCTACATTATGCTGCTGTCGTTTGTAGCCTCAGAGGTCAAACCAAGGTCCTTCTTTGTGCTAAGCACCCAGCTCCCCCTCAGTGAAAACTTTAAGATGACTGAGCCAGCAACCTTTATCAGAGAGCCTTCTTGTTGTAGTAGATGGTAACTGACAAAGAAATCCACAACTGGACAATGTGCATAGAGTAAGACACTTTGTAGCACTCTGGCCTAAATGGGATGTTTTCACCAAAGCCCTCCTCTCAAGGCTCAACAAGCTATGTGGGAGAGGAGCCAGGGGTGGTGAATGACTCCAAGGAAACAGTGTCTTCCAGACACCATAGGACTGATTCATATGTGAAGTCACAGACTGACAGCACACGGGACCTGCACAGGGTCAGACCAGACCAGATCCCAGCACTGAGAAGGGAAAGTGGACACAATGTCTCACCCTTAACCAAGAAGCTGTTTGCAGTTGATACTTGATGGGAAAAGGAGAGTCAGTTTCTCCAATGGGGTGTCACAGGGTGTATCAGCCACACTCCAGGGCATACCCTGGAGCAGTTGACCAACACAAAATAGACTCTGTGGATGCTTTGTTTAGTTTTAGTGGTTTTTCTTAGCGATTTTTTTGTTTGTTTGCTTGTCTGGTTTGATTTCATTTTGTGAGAGTTTTGTTGTTGTTTTCCCTGTTTTGTTTTTGAGAGAGACAAAGAACTTAAAGTTGGGCAAGTAGAAATAGGAAGAATCTGGGAGGAGTTGGGA